CCCAGCCGCTCCGTGGCATGTGGGATCTTCCCGAACCGGGGCACGAACCCATGTCCCCTGCGTCGGCCGGCGGACTCTCAACCACTGTGCCACCTGGGAAGCCCCTAATTGATTTTTTTAAAAAAATTCTTTCAATAAAAGTTACAGGTCACACATAAGGCAAATTCATTGCACTGAAGAAAATGGACAGTCTCCAGAGTGAGCTACTTTCCAATAGCTAGCTGTTGTTTTCAGTTGTTCTATAACAGAACAAAATCCGATATGTAAGTTAAAACAGGAAAACAATGAACAAAAGTACATACATATTCTGAGCTAGATCCTTTCTAGCATTAGATATCTATTCGGCATTTTTTCACAACTGACTAAAGCAATAATTTTCTATATGATACTCATGCGATCTACAAAAAGGGACCATAGACTATAGCTTCTTAAAGTAGCTGACTTCCAACTTGAGAGTAATTTACTTCCCATGAACTTTCTAGATAAATAAGAAGTATGTAATAGGTCATATGAGGCTGCCCTCCCTGCTACAAAGAGTAGCATATTTCTTCACTACAGACCTCGGCATGAGTTACACCTAAGCCTGTTTCAACAGGAAATGCATTTCCCAACCTAAAAGGGGGTCCAGAGTACACTGCATTTCTGGGCCATGTGACCCACAGCTGAGGTGTCTGGCAACTTTACTGTAAAGTGAGCAGGCTGCATGGAATTTCTGCCAAAAGCCTCATCCAAATACTCTGCAGAACCAATTCTGTCTGGGTAAAGACAATGGACTCCCTGAAGCTTCAAATGATGTAGAGAAAAGAAGTAATTCGGAGGAGGATCCTTCAAACCCCACCTGGAAATGATGAGCAACAAAGAAAATGTCTTGGACGGGCTCCTTTTCTCATAAGTTACTCCTCACTTATCTCATTATTAAGGGACAACAGGTTTGAACTCTCAGGTTAGGCAATTCTCAAATAATTAATAATTTACCTAAAGAGCTATCATCATTAGAAGTGTGTAATAGGTTGTACGAGGCTGTCCTGAAACAAACGCAATGATCAACTAAGTAATAATTTACCTGAAAAGCTATCAATCATAGTAAAGTACATCCAGTAGTCTGTTTCCTAAACAAGGGGTTATCTGAGATGCATTTTTCACTAGTGATTTTCATTGCCTCCAAAAAATGAACTCGAAGGGGACTAGGACACCCTATATTCCTGC